AATAATTGTACAAGAGGGGAGATGCAGCCGATATTAGTGGCCACAAATATATGTGCGTTGTAGACAGCAAGAAAAAGGAATAACACTAATGTAGCCCATATATCCATGAGAAGGAAAAGAGTTGAACCACGCCCCCCAAAAAATTTATTAAAAAAATAATAAAAAAAATCCAACCTGCTATCATTCATTCCCCACCCCTCGCCTCCAATGAGTTGCCAACTTCGGGCTTTATGAGGGTAGCCTAGTAACGGAGCTGGGCTCTGAGCATTTTGATTCTTGAACAACTCTGTGCCGGAAAGTAAGCGATTGCACCATACCCAGAAACCCAGGAAGAAATGTGAACGTCAGCTAATCTTCCGAAAATATAAAAAATACATGTAGAGTCTAATGATTAAAATAACCCCAAACATGAGGCCGAAATCTACGGATCGGCCTTATATAATCTTCAGACCTGTGCTGCGGTCTAAATGCGAACCACCGGTTTGACGAAGACCTATCATCGGCATCGCTGCCAAACTCTGGCAAGCAGGCTACTTTCACTTTCATTTGTCAATTTAAATGACAGCGCTCCGGCTGAGCGTCCAGAAACTGAGGGCGAGGCTACTGAGACGGTACGTAGGCCTGTGACACGGATACATAGACCCTAGACAGCCGTGAATTGTTAACTTATGGTAGATTCTACTATCATGTACTGGTGATATCTCCGAGGGACATTCTAGTTTTAAGCTATGCAAGGTGCAAAGTGCAAAGACAACCTGGTACCTGATCACTCCACTGTGGTTTACTGTTCCAAATCATGTTTCCGTACAGTGTTGAGTGTACAGGACACAGGGCCGGTAGTGCGGGGTCCATTGTCCAACTAGAAGTTATATTTGTGGTAAGATTGAAGAATACCGGACCAGCGGACTGACTTTGCCTATGTCTCAACCTTAGGAATTCATGATTTCCCCCAGTTTTTCTCTCTCAATGGAGAATCTCGGACCCGTAGATCTATTCAGAAAATTTTGTCAGGGGGGAGACCGTCACCCTCCTCCACCCGCCCCACCCACCCCACATTCCGGAGCTATCTACGAGTGGTCCGGTATTCTTCAACTTCAATCTTGAGTGGTCCGGTATTCTTCAATCTTCCCGTTAAACAAAGACGTGATTGAAATTAGAGATCTAGAATCTAGATTTTCTATATCAATATTTGGGGTAATTAATTATAGTTTGACTAAGGCCTAGATCTAGCTGAAAACATCCTGTACTTGTTAGCAGATTGCTAGCAGACTCCACACGGTGCCACACCATACAAGTTTCTAGGCTAGCACAATTATAAAGGAAAATGTCTACGTCTCTTTTGCCTTTTCTCATACTGGAAGTGCATTCAGCTAGTTTGGAATGATTTTACTGAGAGTGTGGAAATTGGTTCGCCAGCTACAAAATAATGTTCATTTTAATTTTTATTAAAGTCCATTTTTACAAAGTCAAAATTGACAGTAATTTTTGGGTTATAAAATCTTGCAGCACAAATTATTATTATGAAAATTGTAATAAATTGAGCTAGATCTATGTCTATGAGAATATTGTGCAGGATTAGGTTTTCTTTGTCTCTGTTTTTCAGTTGCTTTCTTTCGCCGACCTGTTTACCTACAATAAATGGATTTGAAATTTATGTTTAAAATGTAAAATTATCTTTAATATTGTTTCAGATTGCCAGTCAATAAATGGATTTGAAATTTATGTTTATGTAAAATTATCTTTAATATTGTTTCAGATTGCCAGTCAATAAATGGATTTGAAATTTATTTTTAATGTAAAATTATCTTTAATATTGTTTCAGATTGCCAGTCTTGACCACAGCATTTATCAGGGTACAACCTACTGCGGAGAGATTCCTCAGCGCCAAAACATCCACTACGATGGACGGAGTTATGGGAGCCCGAGATTCTGGACGGTTCGTCACAGAGAACAGCAAAGATGTGTTTGTCAATGATGATGGCGTGGAAAAGCTGGCAAAGATAGTAAGTTGTCAAAGGAAAAGAAGGAGAAAAGAATTGATCGTATTGGTCTCCATCAGAAAAAAAACTGGTAATGGCAATGAATACGAATGATAAAATTAGTTCGTCAATCTTGAATTGTTGGTGACCTTTAACTTCCCTGGAGAAAGAGAAGTAGATCTAGTAGATTTTGCTAACTACCACAGTAAGCTGTCATGGTAAAGAGAGTAAAGTAAAGGAAATTAATGCCAAGCAGTTTGTAATGATCCCAAACACCACAACTTGCGGCAGATGATTCACTGTGGACTTTGAACTGTCTTTTGTATCAAAGCTGGGTCAGTGGAAGTCATATTTACTATCTCTGTGAATTCTTTCTTGTTCACAGAAAAATTCTCAACATCAAGTCAAGAAACGAAGTTGCCTTTGACTCCTAAATGTGTTGTTACTCAAGTTACTGCACAAGCACGGCTCTGTTGCATAATTTTGACAAGTTGTTTTTAGTCAGATCTTTTTCTGTGAGTGTAGGTGATTCTCTCCCCCCCCCCCCCCCCTGGCCTTCTACATTTATGTAACATATATTAAGGTCTTGTCTTTTGATAATGTGATCGTACAATCAATGTGAGTTGATGATTGGTGGGAATTTTGATGTTACCTTAATTCTCCTTTTTTTTTTTCACTCCCTCTTACTTTTCTATTCCTCTTTACATGCGTCTGTAAATAAGATAAGATAAGATAAGATAAGATAGTACTTTATTATCCCAGAGGGAAATTTTCCTTGGCTGTACAGGACCGTAAAAACACATGCAGGTATACATAAAAAAATTATTTTTAAAAAAAATGTGCTGACTCACAAGACAAACTGAACAGCTCTCAAGGCCCACAGATGGGGAGATTGTTTGATGACTGTATAGTGAGTGTCTGTTGCTGGTGAACAAAAATACTCTGCTCTAATTAACTGACAAATAAACAAGATGGATAGATAGTTGGTGATTCTGCCTATGGAGAAATCTATTGAATATTTGGAATTAGTACAATAAAGAGAGAATCAGAAGGTGGTTGGTGGGTGCTCTGGTGTGGTTTTCTCCTTCTTTCTTATCAAACGGTCATTGATTGTTCTGATCTATCCTTCTTTTTTTGTGTTTAAATTGTTACTCTATTGTAACGCCTCTAGAATTCAACACTTTTATGACCTTATTGTGTTGCAAGTGCCGTTAAACTCTTGCTAAAACTAAAAGAGAATTAAACAGTGAACATATTCTTCTGAAAAGTAATCTCTATGAGGTTTTTACTTTTTTTTTTAATGAAACAGCTGTATGAGAAAGTGAAATGTGGAGACTTCAACGTGACGATGTGGAGGAAGCATGAGCTCAACCCTCAGGGCATGGACGAAGACGCCGTCAACTGGTATGTCGGTCTGACCTTCAAGATGTTGTTGTCAGCTGTAAAAACAAGATTGCACTGAGATTGAAACGTATTTGTTTACACCTCCTCTGTTCAGTTGAATCCACTGTAATCGCTACTTATCCAATCGAGAACGAGGAAGAAGAAGAAGACCGAGCTACCTATCCAAGACAAACGCCTCTACAAACAACCACGTTCCACTTATCCCCTTGTGTCTTTTTCTGTATTATAATGACACTGTCCAAGACATTCACCTTTCGTTTTTTTGTAAAGTGTTTTATGGCGCTCGCAACTGCATAGGTCATACGAGCGCGCGGGACACACCTAATATTTTCAGTTGGTAGGAAATTTAAAATTCTGCCCAGGTGGCGGCCGAAGCCTACTCTTATCGATCGGGCCCTCCAAGATTTTTCGCCCTTGTCTGAGAAGGCTAGGTGTAGATCTTTCCTACCAGAAGATCAGGGGTGTGGCAGAAAGACAGCAGTAAGGAGGAGCCAAGGAGTAGCAGTAGAAAGGCTGCAGAAAGAATCAGGAGCCCAGAGGAAGGGGCAAAGGAGGTGAGGGGGTGGGGGCAGAAAGAGGAGACGAAAGCAGACGACAGAACCTTGCTAGAGAGCAGGAAATGGAGGTGAAAGGAGACACATTTAGAGAAGAAAATGTTTCGGTCGCTACCCGGATTCGAACCCGGGACCTTTGAATGAGAGGCCAACACCTTAACCTCTAGGCCACTAGAGCCCCCATATTCACCTTTCTAACACACACATGTTTTTCTTCCTGGACATTGGGTGGCTGTCGTGGACAATTATGTCACGCCGAGGTGGAATCAAGCGTTCATCAATTTTTGGGCTTGTGGAGTTAATGGTACCATCTGAAAGCTGATTTATGTGCCTTGCTTCCGGTGAAATAAATGTCCATTTACCCTCAACAGAAATAAAAATATTTGCGATTGAAGGAAGTGAGGTCACCTAGTTTCAGTGGTGATATTAGTGAGAAAATGGCCTCCAAAGTTTGGTAACTCCAATAGCATAGCTAAAGACGCTTTGAAGACGTAAAAATGACATTTTTGGTGCTTTTTTTCAATGTTTTTCAACAAAATTCACATGGAAATGTGTTTTATATGGACTTAAAAGAGTTTAAGACAAAAAATAAAAATTCAATAAAAATTTCCAAACTGGCGGAGATGTGCCTGTCCCTCTGATTTCATTATTTTGACGAGTGCCTGATTTCACCACAATTCCTCACAATTTCAGCTGTACGTTGTCACATCTAGAAAATTGCTTTTGGTTTGCTGTTGAAAGATGGAAATGCATCTGTGACAAGTGTAAAATCCAAAATGTTGACTTTTCTGAATTAAATACCTTTTATGATGCATGCATAGCATAGTTGTTTGTTTTGTCTTTTGCAAGGGCTGAAGAAATGGGTTTTAGGGCTTTTGTAAAAATAAAAAACCCAAACAAAATCAGTCTGATCTTGAAATAAACTTTTTCTATGTTTTGGACTTTGGTCTTTTCGTTTCTTTAGTCTCTCCTCTTAGTAAAACAGTAAGTAGGCCCTTCTAAGATTTGGATAATTTTGAATGGATAGCCTGTATTGTCTGTATTGCCCATTTTACTTTCCATGGATAGTAAACTCTTTCAATGTTTCACAAAACCTTCTTCCTCCACATTTGATAAATGTTGTGTTTTTTTAAAACTCAAAGTTCAACTTGCTTTATTTGATCCACAGGGTTTTTGTTTCGGCGGTTTTGAACTTCTCCTTTTGGTCCCAGAAGCCCACGGACAGGTTTGCGGTTACCTACAAAGACAAACAACACACTGGCTACTGGTCCTTGTGTGCAGCTATGAACCGGGCCCTAGATGTGAGTGGTGTCATCATTTATTTACGAGATGTTTGTGGATTCTTTTTTTTTTTTTTTTTTTTGTTTGTTTTGTGGTTGATTTTTCTCCCCCCAAAATTTAAACAGTCATTGGTAATTTGAAAGTATGTACATTCTTCTAAATAAACAATCAAACATTTTGAATAAATGTTTAGATAAAAATCAGCGGGTGGTGAGGATCAGCAGTTATATATCCATGAAAATTGAAATGAAATTGATCATATATTTTTGAATGGCTTCATTCATGTGACACTGAAAGTTACTGGTTATCAAAGAAGAGTGAATATACACTCTAATTTTTAAATGGAGTTGTGATATTAATTATAAATATGGAGATCATATTTATGGCACCTACTCTTGTGTACACACAACTCTAGAGGCACACACGCACACACACACACACACACACACACACACACACACGCACACACACACACGCGCGCGCGCGCGCGCCGCGTGCACATGCGCACACACACACACCTACACACACATCATGAGTGAGCCTCACAAATACCTAGTCTAATATATTCGATGCGATCTGCAGGTTAACAAAAATGCATAAAATAGAAACATAGTCATTTACATAATATTGTACCGAAAAAGAAGCTACTTGCTTAGACAAGATTTAAATGTGACTTTAGATGTCTTAGATTTAGACTCTGATGTTGTTTGTCTCAGGTTGTGGAGAGAAGTTCCAAACTAATGGGGCAGGAGTTGCAAGGATCTTTCAGCTCATTTTTTACAAAGTGGCTAGCCGTACAAGTACGGCTAGACTGAGAGTCTAGCCGTACTTATCTTAGGCCCTATTAACATTAAAAAACAGGAGGTTTAAAATACATTCACTGTCATTAAGGCACCTGGTTTCGTCTCAAATACAAATACTTTAGGTACTGCACACTAAAAATGTATATTTACAATTCAGTAGGCCTATTTTTTTGTAAATGATCAGACTAGCCATCATATTAAGAATAAGTACGGCTAGACTGCCAGTCTAGCCATCATTAAGTACGGCTAGCCTCTTCCAATTTTTTATTTCCTTTTCTGGAAACTCTTAAAAGATGTTGATCACCTGATTGCTCAGTGATCTAGGTGGAATATAAATCTGGGGGAGATCACTTAGATATGCGGGAGCTTAGTTATTGACACGCGTGTGGCATACTTTTGCAAGTTTTAAGTATATATGATATTCTAGCTGACATAGGGACCCGATGCATTGTTCTTAACAGGAGAGTCATGTGTTCCCTTTTCTTTTTTCTTAGTATAAAAGTATACATTATAAACTAGTGGCGTCGGTGGCCTAGTGGTTAGGCTCTCGGACTCGCAACCGTAAGGTTGTGGGTTTGAATCCCGTCAGGGGCCCGACGTTGTGTCCTTGGGAAAGGAACTTTGAACAAATTTTCCTCACTTCACCCAGGTGGAAGTGGGTACCCAGCTATAGATAGTGAAAGATCTTGTCAGTTTGATAGTGTTTGAGCGCGTGAAATCCGCAGCTTGCACTGTATGCTTCCGCGGAAGCTGAGAATGTTTCTGAGTGTTTTCAGAGGGTCTGCAGGGGTAATAATAGTTGTAAAGCGCATGGAGCAAGCTCTTGAGCATGGATATGCGCTATATAAATGCTATTATTATTATTATTATCATTATAAAAGTTATTCTATCACAAGAAATTTGTTGCTGAGATTGTCTATTCTGCTTGGTTTTTTTTATCGCGCTGGTGGTTGGTGGGTGCTCTGGTGTGGTTTGCTCCTTCTTTCCTATCAAACGTTTATTATCCTGGTCTCTCCTTCTTTTTTGTTTCTTACCCTTGTTTTATACTTCTAATCTTTTGCATTTATTGTGTTGCAAGTGCCGTAAAACACTTTTACCCCCCCAGGAAGGCATTCCATTCACCACAGCATCCTATTATGCAACAGTAGATTTGGACACAATGAAGAAAATTTTCCGCTCAGACAATGAGTTTGAAATTCCAATGTTGGAGGAAAGGGTGAGAGTTTTGAACGAGGCCGGGAAAGTTCTCTTGGAGGTGAGTGTTGAAGCGACTTGATCTGGAAAAGAAGAGTTTTACAGTGACTGAGCCCAACTGTGAGCGGTTGAAGGGGCAATGCTGGAAGATTGTACTTCTTTACTTTTCTACTTTTGTTTCTTTCTTTCTGTCTGTTTTGAATAAAATATACAAGAACTCCATAAGTTGTAACTTAACCCCTCATTCCCAGCAGTATAATAGGAAAACAGAAATGTTTATTCTTATGGAAAAAAGAAACTTGCTGACCTTTTGCCTCTTGACAGACAATCTTAAAGCAGTATGCGTGATACAGAATTGTCTCAGTGATACAAACAGAGGAAATAGATTGCCCAGGTACCACTCCCCTCTTTTCAGTTCTTGACTTCTTTTTAAATAAAAAAACTCTCAACAATTGTTGTATTTATTATTTTATGCACACTCCTACAGCACGTGACATGCTTGTTTTAAATTGATGAGCAATAGGCCCTACTGTATTAAACAACTGAAAATAATCTCCAGTACATCAGGAACGCACTGCTATTGTTTTATTTTTAAAAAATTTTATTTTTTGTCTTCAGAAATACAATGGCTCCTTTGCTAATGTGATCAAAGAGGCTGGTAAAAGTGCCCAAGCCCTGCTGAGGATAGTGGTGAACAACTTCCCAAGTTTTCAAGATGTTGCCGAATTCAGTGGAAAGAAAGGTGTGAACTCCTGACTTGATGTTTAGCTTTTATTTTGATAAAACTTACTTTTAAAAAAATTCATCTTGTTTTTCTGAGTAAATGTCATATTGTTTTTTGAGTAGATTTCATCCTGTTTTTTAAATTTTTTTTATTGTAAATGTCATATTGTTCTTAGAGTAGATGTCATCCTGTTTTTGTTTTTTTAGTAAATTGTTCTTTGAGTAATTGTCATCCTGTTTTTGTTTTTTATAGTAAATGTCATATTGTTCTTAGAGTAGATGTCATCCTGTTTTTGTTTTTTTTAGTAAATGTCATATTGTTCTTTGAGTAAATGCCATATTTTTCTTTGGAGTAGACTTCATCCTATTCGTCTGAGTAAATGTCATGTTGTTCTTTGAGTAGATTGCATTTTGTTCAGTAGTGATGAAATGGTAAATATAAATAGTATCATTGCCATTGTAACAAGATCCAGATGGAAGACCTGCAGTTAAAAGAAAAAGACATTAGTATAAAGACAGAATGACAGATGAATAAAAGAGGAACAGCAGATTCTCAAGGTAACATTCTTAATGTTAAGTAAATTGATTTATTTTCAAAGTGGAGTGCAAGCGTAATTATGCCCAATGATTGAACTCCAACAAAAATAGCTTCCTGTGTGTAATAATTATGTAGCAAATGTGCTGACAAGTGACATATTATGTATCTCGATGTGGTGGAATCAGGCACTCGTCAATTTTTGGGCGTATGGGGTTATTGATACCATCTTAAAGCCTGTTTATTTGCCTTCCATTTGGTGAAAAAGTTTTCATCTATGTTGAATTGAAGTCGAAATATTTGCAATTGAAGGAGTTAGGGTCGCCTGGTTTCAGAGGTATAATTAGTGAGAAAATGACCGCCAAAGTTTGGGAACTTCCATAGCCCTAGAGTCCTAGGAATTGAAATTTTACATTTTTTGTGCCTTTAATCAGCTTGTCAGTAAAATCCACGCGAAAAATGTTTTTAAATGGACATAAAAGGTAAGAAAATTAGAAAAAAATTGCCCATTGGCCAAAAAAATGTTGATTTCTTTGATTTCATTATTTTTACCAGCGCCTGATTTCACCACGATGCATCACATATATTTATTTGGAAGAGATTTACAATTGTTTTAAAGATAACCAAATTTCGCCTGCGAACACAACACATACCACTAAATTCCTACCTTAATGGGATCCGCAAGAATACCCCACCCGACTGCCCGTTGTGCGACTGCCAGGATAAAACAGTATCACCACACCACCTCATTAACTGCCCTGCACTTTGTGACCTGCGTAGCACCTACCTACCTGCCTCCCCAGGCATCGGAAACACTCTATACAGCGACAAGGCACAGCTGATTAAAACCTGTCAATTCTTTGCCATATCGACAGACCGAAGGGCTAGAACCCAAATGGCCGCTGGATCGGAAAAGTAAAGTAAAGTAAAGATAACCAAAGAAGCAACAGAGAACACAACAGAGCTTTGTTTTTTTCCATAACTAGAAGTTTTATGATAGTTTTACCGTCAAAATCTTTCTTTTTTCCAGTGGGCATCTACAAAAGAGTTCAGATCCTGATAGGAGACGTCTGGGGATGTTGTGAAGGGAAAGGACTCGGAGAGTTTGATGATATAGACACCATCACCATGTTTGCTGACTACAGGTGAGAGAGGGAGGGAGGGAGAGAGAGAGAGGGAGAGAGAGAGAGAGGGAGAGAGAGAGAGGGAGAGAGAGAGAGGGAGAGAGAGAGAGGGAGAGGGAGAGAGAGAGGGGAGGGAGGGAGGGAGAGAGAGAGAAAGAGAGAGAGAGAAAGAAAGAGAGAGAGCATAGTTTAAAATAGTGAATTATGAGTCTTTTTATTGAATTTCATTTGTCGAGTAGCTATGGAAAAAGACAGACCCACTGTCGAATAGCTATGGAAAAAGACAGACCTACTGTGCTACGATGATCTGTAGTAATGTTTTGTGAAGTTGTAGATATAGACTAAGTGGTGTGATCTAATGAATCTTGTGTGACTTATTGTGGCGTCGGTGGCCTAGTGGTTAGGCTCTCGGACTCGCAACCGTAAGGTCGTGGGTTCGAATCCCGTCAGGGGCCCGACGTTGTGTCCTTGGGAAAGGCACTTTGCACAAATTTTCCTCACTTCACCCAGGTGGAAATGGGTACCCAGCTATAGACAGAAAGATCTTGTCAGTTTGATAGTGTTTGAGCGTGTGAAATCCGCAGCTTGCACTGTATGCTTCCGCGGAAGCTGAGAATATTTCTGAGTGTTCTATGGTCTGCTGGGGTAATAATATAGTGTAAAGCGCATAGAGCCTGCTGTTGAGCGGGGATATGCGCTATACAAATGCTATTTATTATTATTATTATTGCTGCCTGTAAAGCTATGAGTGCCTTATGATAGACTGTCACCCTAATTTCATCATCATCATTAGCTCTCTCATCCTTCACACGGGCGTCTGTGGCGTAGCGATTAGGTGTTTTGCTGTTGCAAGCAGGAGATCAAAGTTCAATTCTCAAGTGGGGAGAAATTTCTATTGAATATCTTGGTCTTTCTGTTGGGATATTGCATCCCTCTCTGCACGGGTGCTCCCTGGTGCTAATTTTACCTCTCTCCCCAGGCTACCCCCACCTCCTTCAATCACAAATATCTTGACTTCTATTCAAGATAGATGGGTGTTTCTTTCGACAAATGCAAGACAAATGAACAAGCTTTAAGATGATATTGATAACTTTAAATGCTCCAAAATTGACCAGCGCCTGATTCCATCGTGTCGCAACAAATATGTGAGGCAGCGTGTTGGAATCAGGCTCTCGTCAATTTTTGGGCATGTGGAATTATTGCTATCATCTTAAAGCTTGTTCATTTGTCTTTATTTGGGCGAAAAAAATATCCATTTATCTTGAATACAAGTCAAGATATTTGAGAATGAAGGGGGTGGGGGTCACCTGTTTTCAGAGGTAAAATTAGTGAGAAAATGGCCGCCAAAGATTAGTTATTTCCTTAGCTTAAGAGTCCGTCGTAGATGCAAATTTACATTTTTTGTGCCTTTAATCAACGCTTTTTAGAAAAAGCTATACAGAAATGAGTTCTTTCATGGGCATGAAAGGTGTTGAGCCTAAAAACAAAAATTTGAAAAAAATTCACAAACCTGTGGAAAAATGCAAGTTTCTTTACTTGGATTATTTTGACGAGAGCCTGATTCCACCACGCTGCCTCACATATTATACTTTCCACTTTTCCCTGACATGAATCACGGGCTAGCCTCTTGACATTATTCCTTGTCTTTTCACTTTTCTGTACATGATTCTCTTTGACTCGTCTCCAGGTTCCATGTGGCTTTCTTTCCCCTTTATCTCTTCATCATCATCATCCGGTGCCTTGCCGACTGGCGTGGGCGACCATGGACCTCCACTTCACCCTGTCCTTCGCTGCAGCAATGGTGTCTGTTGTTCTTGCTGCTCCCAACCATGTTGTCATCTTGTCCAGTATCTTTTCCCTCTGTCTGCCTCTGCCTCTCTTTCCATCAAACTTTCGTGTTGTGACAATATTCTCTAATGCTTCTTTCCGCATTGTGTGTCCGAAGAAATTTGCCTGTCGTTTTCTTATATTCGTGATAATTTGTTTTCTATAATTTGCTTCAACCAAGACTTCTTCATTTGTTTTTCTAGCTGTCCATGGGATACGTAGCATGCGTCTTATGAACCACAACTCTGTCGCCACAATCGTTCTTTCCAGCTGTTTATTGATTGTCCACGCTTCGCACCCGTATAATAGGATTGGCTCGATGTAACTTTTCAGTACTCTTTTTCTCATTTCCAGTGACAGATTGATGTTTGTGAGTATTTGTTTCATCTTGTGGAAGGTTGTTTTTGCTTGGCAAATGCGGCTTTTAATTTCGGTGTGACATCTACCATCTGATGATATATCTCTTACCCTGAGGGTATATTACCAAAATTTATGACATAACTCTGTAACGTTCTGATTTTTCTAGAATCCCTCAAGCCCTGGTGTTCTATGGTGTCTTGAAGTACTCAGACAGCTTAATGGAGAAGTTGAAGCAAGGTATGCTGACTGTCTGTCTGTGTGTGGATCATGGACTTGTAGAAGATAAGATAAGATATGATAAGATAAGATGCATCTTTATTGTCCAGATCCTGGCACATTGGTTTGGTGTTCCACCACGAGTACACACACACACACACACACACAATAACACACACACACACACACACACACACACACACACACACACACACACACACACACACACACACACACACACACACACACACACACACACACACACACACATACACACACACACACACACACACACACACACACACACACACACACACACACACACACACACACACACACACACACATACAAACACACACACACACACACACACGTGCACACACACACACACACACACACACACACACACACACACACACACACACACACACACACACACACACACACGTGCACACACACACGTGCACACACATGCACACACAAGTAGGCTTACAATCACATGCATAATATAAATGAGCAGCAATATAAACAATAATAATCGTAAGCTAGATACACACTCAATGTTATTTTGATGCATGCTCTAAGGTCGTAAGTACACTAAACAAGATGGTTAAGATGGAAGCATTTTGATAGATTATGGTAAAAATGACCTTCTGTATCTTTCTTTGTTACAGATCAGAAGCATGGGTCTTTTAATAGAATATTAGTAGAATCTAGTAGAATATTTCTCCTCTTCACTGCTCAACTGTGTGCTTGGGGCTGATCGCTTAAATGTCCCGGCACAGGTGCCAGTTTTCTGGATAAATCCAGAAATGAAAATTTCGGAAATTGCCCAGATTTTATAAGAATATGCTCCTGCTTATATTTTATTTAACTTTGTTATTTTTGTGCATGTCATATTGCACTTTATTTAAGAAAAGTCTTGATTCGAGATGCATCACCCAATATGGTAAGGCCATTCCTAAAGGGGGGATATTAACATGTTCTTATGCTCAGTAGAATCTCAGTAGAATTTTAAATGGGCTGATTCATCAATGTCATGTTCATGCTGTGCTGGAACAACATAGGGGGAACTGCTGTTTTTTCTTTCCTCATCCTTACTATTGTCATTTTCCTCTACTTCTTTTGTATGTTTTTCACTCTCTTGTAAACTATTCCTGGGTGCCTTGATGGTTGAAGCAGACTTTGTGCTGTTGTGGCTAGAGAGGTGAGCAGAGTAAGCCTGATTCCCAGATTGGACTTCTCTGATGACATCCACCCCTTGGCGCTCATAGGACTTCATGCAGTTGATAGCACCGTAAAACTAAAATAATATGGTAACGGTCTGTAAATTTGGAGTCTCAGGTTCAATTGGGTCTGATAAGTAATAATAATAATAATAAATAGCATTTGTATAGCGCATATCCCCGCTCAACAGCAGGCTCTATGCGCTTTACACTATATTATTACCCCAGCAGACCATAGAACACTCCGAAACATTTTCAGCTTCCCGGGAAGCATACAGTGCAAGCAGCTGATTAAGCGCTCAAACACTAACAAACTGACAAGATCTTTCGCTGTCTATAGCCGGGTACCCATTCCCACCTGGGTGAGGTGAGGAAAATTTGTGTAAAGTGCCTTTCCCAAGGACACAACGTCGGGTCACTTACGGGATTCGAACCCACGACCTTACGGTTGCGAGTCCGAGAGCCTAACCACTAGGCCTCCGACGCCATGAGTACAGTCTCCTCTGTCCTTGTGTTTGATGTGAAGGAATGTGTAAAATCTCATCACAGTTTTGTTCTGTAGAGGAAGCTTTGATTTGGTTTTGATTCAGTAGGGAGGTCACACATTTTACTAACGCTCATTTTACTAACGCTCATGTGATTCTTGTATTCTGACAGTTCCTTTGCTGAAAAGTGGAGAGAGAATAGAGGTAGAGATACGAGGAGTTAGCCTGTGGGCGTGTGAGGTAAGAGCAGTTTTGGTTTTGATAATAATGAATAGCATTTGCTTTTGCACAAAATCTCTCTCAACAGCAAGCTCTGTGCGTTTAACATCTTTATCATCAATCTAGTTTTCCAGGATATTCTCTGATTATTGTCGCTTTTTGCAATCTAATTTAGGGGGAAAAAAGATGACCATTTTTAACTATATATATATTGGCCTCTGTAATAGACATAATTATGTGGACCTATCGTCGATATATCGGCCTTTTTTAGTCTAGCCTTATTTTATTTCATCCATCTTGGACTTTTCACAGTTATGAGATTTCACAAAATTGGAACGTTTAATGGAACAAGTTTCTAAAGAGCAACTCGATGCGTGTAAAAATTCTTGCTTTGAGTTTGTCAATGTACATCTGCGCCATTTCACTGTGCTTGCATTGTTTCACATTTCGGACATAAATCTGAAGAAATATTCTAATGCAGTTGGACCTGCCATGATAGAAACCGACCCAAAACGCGACCAGTCATGATGGAATCTCCCCGCTCTGCCCTTGATAAAATGTTCACAAGTATAATACATCAATACATCGACTAAGAAGGAAACCTTCACAGGGGGCTCTCGTGGCCTAGAGGTTAAGGTGTTGGCCTCTCACTCAAAAGGTCCCGGGTTCGAATCCGGGTAGCGACCGAAAAATTTTCATCTCTAAATTTGTCTCCTTTCACCTCCTTTCCTACTCTCTAGCAATGTTCTGTCGTCTGCTTTCATTTCCACTTTCTGCCCCCCACCCCTTCACCTCCTTTGCCTCCTCCTCTGAGCTCCTGATTCTTTCTGCAGCCTTTCTACTGCTATTCATTGGCTTCTT